TGAGAGACAATATTGTTCTGTCAGTGATGGGTGAGAGACAATATTGTTATATATGTGATGGGTTAGAGACAATATTGTTATGTCAGTGATGGGTGAGAGACAATATTGTTATGTCAGTGATGGGTGAGAGACAATATTGTTCTGTCAGTGATGGGTGAGAGACAATATTGTTATATATGTGATGGGTTAGAGACAATATTGTTATATCAGTGATGGGTGAGAGACAATATTGTTATGTCAGTGATGGGTGAGAGACAATATTGTTATGTCAGTGATGGGTGAGAGACAATATTGATATGTCAGTGATGTGTAATGGTGTATTATGTCAGTGATGGGTGAGAGACAATATTGTTATGTCAGTGATGGCTGAGAGACAATATGTCAGTGATGGGTGAGACAATATTGTTATGTCAGTGATGGGTGAGAGACAATATTGTTATGTCAGTGATGGGTGAGAGACAATATTGTTATGTCAGTGATGGGTGAGAGACAATATTGATATGTCAGTGATGGGTGAGAGACAATATTGTTATGTCAGTGATGGGTGAGAGACAATATTGTTATGTCAGTGATGGGTGGGTGAAAGACAATATTGTTATGTCAGTGATGGGTGAGAGGCAATATTGTTATGTCTGTGATGGGTGAAAGACAATATTGTTATGTCAGTGATGTGTAATGGTGTGTTATGTCAGTGATGGGTGAGAGACAATATTGTTATGTCAGTAATGGGTGAGAGACAATATTGTTATGTCTGTGATGGGTGAGAGACAATATTGATATGTCAGTGATGTGTAATGGTGTGTTATGTCAGTGATGGGTGAGAGACAATATTGTTATGTCAGTGATGTGTAATGGTGTGTTATGTCAGTGATGGGTGAGAGACAATATTGTTATGTCAGTAATGGGTGAGAGACAATATTGTTATGTCTGTGATGGGTGAGAGACAATATTGATATGTCAGTGATGTGTAATGGTGTGTTATGTCAGTGATGGGTGAGAGACAATATTGTTATGTCAGTGATGTGTAATGGTGTGTTATGTCAGTGATGGGTGAGAGACAATATTGATATGTCAGTGATGTGTAATGGTGTATTATGTCAGTGATGGGTGAGAGACAATATTGTTATGTCAGTGATGGGTGAGAGACAATATTGTTATGTCAGTGATGGGTGAGAGACAATATTGTTCTGTCAGTGATGGGTGAGAGACAATATTGTTATATATGTGATGGGTTAGAGACAATATTGTTATGTCAGTGATGGGTGAGAGACAATATTGTTATGTCAGTGATGGGTGAGAGACAATATTGTTCTGTCAGTGATGGGTGAGAGACAATATTGTTATATATGTGATGGGTTAGAGACAATATTGTTATATCAGTGATGGGTGAGAGACAATATTGTTATGTCAGTGATGGGTGAGAGACAATATTGTTATGTCAGTGATGGGTGAGAGACAATATTGATATGTCAGTGATGTGTAATGGTGTATTATGTCAGTGATGGGTGAGAGACAATATTGTTATGTCAGTGATGGCTGAGAGACAATATGTCAGTGATGGGTGAGACAATATTGTTATGTCAGTGATGGGTGAGAGACAATATTGTTATGTCAGTGATGGGTGAGAGACAATATTGTTATGTCAGTGATGGGTGAGAGACAATATTGATATGTCAGTGATGGGTGAGAGACAATATTGTTATGTCAGTGATGGGTGAGAGACAATATTGTTATATCAGTGATGGGTGAGAGACAATATTGTTATGTCAGTGATGGGTGAGAGACAATATTGTTATGTCAGTGATGGGTGAGAGACAATATTGTTATGTCAGTGATGGGTGAGAGACAATATTGATATGTCAGTGATGTGTAATGGTGTGTTATGTCAGTGATGGGTGAGAGAAAATGACTTGGTAGGTGCCACAGTTTAGATGATGCCAGGATATGTTAACACATGTATTAGGATAGAGATGATACTGCTAAGTAACCAAAACATTGCTACCAGCATCAGCAGCAGATCAGCTATGTAGAACATGTATGTCATGTTTACTTACACTGGTCAGCTATGTAGGATTGTCATGTTTACTTACATTGGTCAGCTATGTAGGACTTGTCATGTTTACTTACACTGGTCAGCTATGTAGGACTTGTCATGTTTACTTACACTGGTCAGCTATGTAGGACTTGTCATGTTTACTTACACTGGTCAGCTATGTAGGACTTGTCATGTTTACTTACACTGGTCAGCTATGTAGGACTTGTCATGTTTACTTACACTGGTCAGCTAAATAAATCCTGTGTTACAGATGATGCTATCTGTGGATTTAATGAACATAATAGTCTCCTGATTTTACTAATGAATTACAGAGAAATACATGTACAGGGATGAAGCAAAAGAATTATCTATGATCGTCATGTTTTCAAATTACTGGCAATTTCTTCCTAGACATGACAAATCAACTGAGATTGCTTAACCAGTAATATACTTGTTAAAAGCCTTTAATTTCAAATTAAATCCATGGTATGTTTCTGCTTGTAAGATACCTTGATGTGATTTTAAATAAACACCATCTCATTCTGTCATCACTAATTTAAGTCATTTAACACCTCAACACACATATGAACTTAACAGTATGCCAGTTCTCCACAAATTTCTCCAATTGGAGATTTTCCTTGTCTAACTTTCCATTATTTTAACGAACTCATGAAAAAAATCAATTATCCTACAACAATCCCCGTGTAAATCTGACAAAAATAACAGCTATTTCTGTCACATTAATTTAAATACGAGTTTCATGAAGTCATACATCATCATTGTTTTGTTTACCAGCTGTCGTCCTGGTATAATAGAATCAATATATTTCTATACCTTATAAGGTAAAGACTAATCTCTTCTGACGGTATCTATATATGTGAAAAGTGTAGAGAATTCCCCATCTGTCACGCCAGTATCATCAACTATTGTATAACACTTCAAGTTTATTAAGGGTACAGCACTTTTAAAAAAAGAATTACAACTGTTGAGATTTATTACATGGAAAATATGTGATGGGGACTACAAACATAATGAATTACACGCCCAGTAGTGATATAGGCTGGTATGTCCTGTATCCGAGATGTCAACTACTATTGAAAAATGTTGATAAACATGTCAGGTACATATGAGTGTCCATTAACATATTAACTTACCCTTAATGTAATATGCATGCATTTTCATAAATCATATCAAAGGACATACTCAAACGATTCACAGATTTATAGCTGGAATTATATTAAACTTTAAATTAGTCCATGGTTGAAGCGACAATGCATTGAGCTTACAATAATGTACGTTTGACACGATTCTAATGAAAATGGAATGTTTGTTAAAAATTGTTTATTATGCTATCATAAAATAGTGTAAGCAAGCTTCTGGTTTTGTAAATTTTTTAGATATAAGTGCATATTTCGATCTGTAATAACAAAAAAAACAAAAACAAAACCTAGAATCACCGACCCGTTTAACCACCTCACAGATCGAAGAGACCGCTCTAATTTTAGGGAGATTTGAATACTCATTAGATCTAGGTAAATAAATATTTTATTGCAGAAAGTTTTCATCATAAAATTTAAAAGCTTTGATTATTAAAATTTTGACAAGTTTTTGCATGTGATTTTAACATTGGTAATGACTGTAAGTAAACTACCTAGCTCTGTCTGACAAGTTACAACATATCTAACCTGTATTTCTACTATAATTGACTTATCTTATCAAATACTTATCACATGAAAGATTTAAAATGTGTGAGTATTCATTTATGTAATCTTAGATCAAAATACAAAAGCACTCTTCAAGTTCAAGTATAATAAATTTGAATAATACAAAATTGTCATTTAGTTTTGTTAAAACAACATTTATTTAATAATTCCACAATATTAACACAAAATTATATATTTGGAATGGGAAAATTAGGTTTAATAATTGTAACGTAATTTTACTGTCTTTTTTTTATATAATTTCTAAAAAAAAATCTTTTATTTTATAATTGTTTAGACAACAAAAACTCTGATATACATGTAATTTTTCTTATTTAACTATTTTTTGTTTTCAAAACAACCATGTTCCAAGGTTTGATAATCTAGGGAACACATTAATTAGATGTACAACACTAGATTCAGTGACAAAGCACATTTACAAGTTTTAGACAAATTGTAAATGTACTTACCAGAATGGCAGACATTTTACAAATTGTTTACTGTTTAGAGATGAAAAATGTATCACACCATCTTCCTAGACAAATAATTCTTGGTGTGTGGATCACTGACCCTGAACATATTTGTTGTGAAGCAAGGCTAACACCCCCTCTAGCACTATCTAGTGTTCTTCACTGCTTCATGAGTTGATGTCATTCTATTACCTGGTATACTAAGCGACACAATATTCACGTAATTTTTAAAACTAATGAAAATGTTTTGCTAGATATGAATATGTTATGTCCAATTAACCTTGCAAACTTTTAGAAATCTTAACATGGTTTCATACAACTGCATCCTGTACCTTCTGTCGGCCATTTCCTCAAACTTATCAATGTTGCATGAACATCAAGAGTTCTGGTTTGCTTTTGATTTCTATACAGGGTATTTGTGTTTTTTCAGAAACTTGAGATAACAAACCATTTAGCAAATTTGCATCAATATCTAATAAACTTAATTGCTCTGGATATCATATGGTGAACCTTCCACATACTGTTCAGTGAAGTAGTTTCCCACTACAACAAGTTCCTGCCTTGAAATAACCCTGGCCCTTTACCTGGCATTAAAGCCAGCATACAAACAAATCCTGTACATAAATTCTGTTTAAAATAGTTGAACTTGAACACTTCCGTCCATCAGTGCCCTTTTCACATCATCATTGCGGACAATTTCCAGATGAACTGATGCTATTCAGATGATAATGGTAACGGCCTTGGGTTTGTGTAATTGTTCAGGTAAAACAGGTTGTCATGGTGCCAAGATCTTACCTTAGGGCTGAGCATATGTATGAGTCCATCTGTAGCACCTTTAAGTGTAATGCCACGTCCAAAGAAGATGAGGAGAACGACGTAGGGAAATGTGGCCGTCACATATACCACCTACAACAACAAACAACAGATAACCAAACATATTCACAGGAAACTTGTTTACATCTTCAAGAAGAGAGCCTATTATACCTGTGTCAGGTTTAGATTCAGGGCTCTCACACCCCATTTTGGGACTGGGACCCGGGGCCCTTTGAATTGGGAAAAATAATGGTGTTTTCCTTAGAATTGGAAAAACTTGGGGTCTAAATTGGGAAAAAAAGATACTATTTTGCATTGGGAATATTCGGCCCCAAATCTGGCAGATCGAGAGTCCTGAGATTGACAAGAAAATGCCCTAAACTTCAGTATCAAATATAAATCAAGGGTCACAACTCTGTAATAAACTTATAACTATGCAATCCAGATATCTGCCTAATCCAGAAAAATAAGTCCCAATTCCAACAATATTATAACAATAGACCCTCTACAATCTGGAACCCTCTACAAACCAGCCAAATTATTCGATCCCAGGTGTCCGACTTAGACAGATTCCACTATATGCACACAAGTGATAACCATATTTTAGTATACAACATTCTCCAAATATATCAGACAACAAGGTTGGTGTATATATATTTACAATCGAGACACACTTTAATGTGAAGTATTAACAAAAAATCATACCTCCCTACTGAAATTAATTTTTTGAAGATAGGTAATCAGAATTGAAAAGAGAAAAAATTGAAAATGACAGATAAATATCAAATATTTAATTCAAATCCATACTTTATATGTCCAATACTAATACAGGATTCGTAGGATTTCTCCATCACTGGGCCAAATTGTTTCTATTAGACAACCTTCCTACCTTTCTTGTGATATTGGGTAAAATACCTTGCCAGAAGACTTGATTCCCTTCCAAATGCAGGCATAAATGATGAGCCAGGCAAATATCAGACAGAGCAGCATCTTCCACTTAATTCCATCGGACTCCTCAATACTGCCAGAAATATCGAGAGCATTTCGGTACCAGAAATAGGATGTAGGTCCTGATATGTCACACTCCTCAACAGGGATGGATATATTGGTGCCCTCCTTAAGGACCGTAGGACAGGTCGCCCAGGGGAGCGGGCTCTGGAAGGAGTGGAATATGTAGTAGAAACACCACATGATGATGGCATTGTAATACACACCAACCATGAACGAAGTCACGGCACTGGCGATACCCACACCTCCCAGGAAAGGGTGCACCTTGTTCCAAGTGCCCATGCTGCCCATACGGAAGTGCTGTCCTGAGGCAAACTCCAGGTACAGCAGTGGCATGCCTTCCACAAACAGCATGATGAGGTATGGAATGAGGAATGCTCCTGAAAACAATGTTAAAAAAATAAGTAAAAATGTTTGCGAAATCTTATGCAAAAAACAAAATAAAACAATACAATAGCATAGATGTGATTGTATTTCCTGGAAACCAAAGGTCAAAGTTTAAAAACGGTGAATAAACAAAAGCTTGAAACAAAATCTTGAGTTTTCCATAATATAAATATCACGCTTGCACAATTCAGTTTCAAGAAAGCTTTTTATGACTGTTTCATGGTTTAAGACATCTGAGGGTTACATCAACCCTCAGTCTTTCAATTATTTCAGGGTTTTCTCCTCTCATTTGGGAAAGAGTCATTTTATCTTACTTTGAGAAGAAGTTTTTTCGTTATCGGGAAGGACATTTTCTGGCCCATAAACAGCCCCAAAGAGCCTAAAGTAAAAAGCCCTGGGTAATCACATTTATTGAACTCATTTGGTCTTGTAACAATTTATTATAATATCAAATGACCTTCATTGCTTCCATCCTTATGACCTTCAGCCTCCTTTCTGAGACATTGATTTTTACCTCCTACATAATAAAGATCAATGTCTCCAACTTAAATAAACTAATGACCTTCAATGTCTCCTAAACAATGACCTCCATTCTCTCCTACTCCATGATCTTCTAATGACCTTCATCCATTGTTTCCTTCCGAATGACCTTCAGCGTCATACCTAATGACCTTCAAATGATGCATGCAATGTCTCCCACTTAATGGCCTTCACTTTCTTCTACCTGATTCCCATATATCTCTTCAACCCAATGACCATCACTTAACCTTCACTTTCTCCTACCTAATGATCCTCACTTGATCTTCCCTGTCTATCAAATGACCTTCACTATTTCCTGTCCAAGGATCTTCACGGTCTCATACCCTATGACCTTCAAATGACCTTTACTGACTCTAGCTTAATGACCTTCACTGTCCCAATCTTATAACCTTCAATGTCTCCTATCACATGACCTTCACTTCCATGCCTTGTGCCAAATGATCATTACTTCACTTTCTCTTACCTAATGACCTTCACTGTCTCCTGTCTAATTACCTTCACTGTCTCCTACCTGATGGCCTTCATTTGACCTTCCCAATCTCCTCTCATGTTACTTTATTTGTCTCCTACCTTATGACCTTCAATGTCACATATCTAATGACCTTCACTATCCTGTCTCCTATCTCCTGACCATTATTTTCTCCTACTAATGACCTCTGTCTCCTAATACATGACCTCTGTCTTATGCCTAATGACCTTCAGTGTCACCTATCTAATGACCTTCACTTATGACCTTCACTATCTCCACCGTAATGACCTTCTCAACCCTCCTACCAATTTACTTTCATTGTCTCCTACCTAATGACCTTCATTGTCTCCCATCTAATGACCTTCACTTTCTCTCACCCAATGACCTTCATTTTCTTCTACCTAATGACCTGTCTTTTACCTTATGACCTTCACTTTCTCCTACCAAATGACCTCTTTCTCCTACCTAATGACCCCAGTCTCCTACCAAATAAATTCTGTCTTCTAGCAAATGACATTCATGGTCTCCTACCTAATGACCACTGTCTCCTACCTAATGACCACTGTCTCCTACCTAATGATCTCTGTTTCCTACCTAATGACCTCTGTTTCCTACCTAATGACCTTCACATTCACCTACCTTATGACCCCTGTCTCTTGTCTAATGACCTCTGTCTCCTACCTAATGACCTCTGTCTCCTGCCTAATGACCACTGTCTCCTACCTAATGACCACTGTCTCCTACCTAATGATCTCTGTTTCCTACCTAATGACCTCTGTTTCCTACCTAATTACCTTCACATTCACCTACCTTATGACCCCTGTTTCTTGTCTAATGACCTCTGTCTCCTACCTAATGACCTCTATCTCCTACCCTATGAACTCTGTCTCCTACCTAATGACCTCTGCCCCCTACCCAATGACCTCTGTCCCCTACCTAATTACCTTCACTGTCCCCTACCTAATTACCATCTCTGTTCCCTACATAATGACCTTCACTATCTACTTGTTAATGACAATCTATCTAAAAATTAATGACGTTTAGTTTCATCATTGACTATACTTTAAACCCAGATTGACGTTTACAATAACGAGTTTTGTTGTGGTTCTTGTAGAATACTAATGGATGATGAATAAGAAGATAGAGCAAATATGACCACGGTAAAAGGCTACATCAAATTTTCTGAAGAAACTGGCAACCATACAAACAGCACGTGTTTGTCGGGCCAAGAGGCACGCTAAGGTACAACAACAACACTGCAGAACGGCCGCCCTATGGCTACAACGGAAGCCACGTGTGTGCTATACAAATACCACGATAGTGTACACAAAGTGAAAGTGGAGTACGCATTAAATACGTAATATCCTATATTCGATAAGTCCAACGCCATTGAATTCAAACACGTAACAAGCCGTGATCTACTCCAGTGCCGGATGTTAGGTGTTTGTTTTGTCCCCCGTAATGCCGTCCACAGATCAATTTATAACACAGACACTATTTTTACTTCGAGATTTTTGTGACGTCCATGTTTGAGTTTAGAAGTTGATTTATGAAGGAAATGTAAAGCATGTACTTATTATCCAGAATTGTAAAAACATCACGAAATTAATGGCGTTAGACCGACCGTCTCCATTATTGACGTCACACTTCGACATTCGTGATAAAACCATGTCTAATTTTGAGACCGACTTCCGGCAAATTTCGTTCCACCCGGGTTTATCAAACAGCCTGTTCCCGAATTCGAATGAAGTGCAACAATATGACTGGTTTGGAATGCTAGTTCTCAGTCTGGCTCTAGCGAGTCCAAATTTGTTTTGGGTGTCCACAGGGATATGGAACACAATTTATGGCTTGAGCGGTAGAATTGCAGATAAATGCTAATACCGCGGCGTTACTGCGCATGAATTGTTACTAGACGCATACAGCGTTCGTGTCAAGTTAAACACCAAATGCTAATAAAATATATATGTAACGAGCATTTTTAATCGGACAAAAACAGAAAACACTAAAAATTGAGTTCAGGGTAATATAGCCATGGATGATATTCTTTTAATATAGATTTAAATTAATTTTAGCGATCGATTCCATGTGCTAGAACAATAAAGGACAAGGAGCGATTAGCTGGATAAACTCAATGAAATCATCACCGGACACTATACGTACATGTAAAAAATTTAAAAATTTGAGAATAAGGGAGAAAATATTCAAGGCATAGAGAAAGATGTCATGTTCAGTGATCAAAATTAATTGTCTGATAATTATAACAGAGCAGTGTCTGAGCGGGTCAGTTTTGTAAATTAAGAGTGTCCAGTGAGGTGAGATATATTTCTGTATTTTAAGATTTGATGTGTAATTCTTAAGAAAGTAATGTGACTTGATTCTATAAAAGTTGACAGTTAGTTGATTATTAGGAAATTTTAAAAAGTAATTATTGAAATTAAACCGTTTCGTGGTGTGCGGTCGTTGAGTTGTATGTGACTAAGGACCGAAAGCTGCGGACGGAGAGGCGCGCGCCTTGTACATAAGGACATATGTGATGTAAATAACTTTGTATCTTTTGAACTGTAAACAAAATGTAAATAGGAGGTAGAATATTATGTAATCATTTAAAATAAAGCTATATTGGTCAAAACGTGCATCTCCTCTAATTAGCGAATAATTAATTAGGTAAACAACCTCACAGAGAACGGTTGAACGTCGAAGTGCGTCTCAGCTTCGTAAAGGTACTCGGTAGTTCCGATTTACAGACATTGATTAGAGAAAGCCAAACATTGTAACTGTACATAAAAAAACTAAAAGTAATGTAAAGTATAACTGTCTCCCTGAAGAACGAAAAGCGATAAACACGTGGTCGATTTACGTCAGACACACTTATAGATGTAACGTGGCGTGTGCATTGTTTACTTGTTGGATCCGGTGTCTTAGCACATGGACTCGATTCGTATGTGCCAAAGCACATCTGGACAGTGGTAAATACACAAAGTTCCACTGCCATCGGCTATTCATGAATGAAAGTATATCTGTTCGTGTATCAAAAATTGACACCGAAGTCCGTGAGATACAAGAAAGGTCTTGGTTTTCAATTTCAAATGACTTTCATTCATACTTCTTTGTGAGTGTTAAGTTTTCTTCTGTTTCTATCTCAGAAATATTGGCAAAAACAACTTTCTTGAGATCGTTTTCAAAACCTAAAACTAGCGGTTCTTGCAGTTATTTCTATGACTAAACCCCCAACCCTACCCCCAGCAGCCATCTTGTTCTTCCGATTCAAGTCTGATATTCACACAGGCAAATCGGGGACGGAACACGGTTAACTTTTTTGACAACGTTGTGATATTTTTTCTTAAATGATAGGCGAACGATTTTTGGAAAACAGTTTTGAACGGCACGATGAGCTAATTTCTATTTTTTCGTTGATACGGTATCGCAAAGCCATTGTGACGTCATCCACATTAATTTCCCAATTAAGAACACAACAAACACGACAATAAAAAGATTCATCGCCGTACCTCGCAAACTATCGCTTCCATGTAATAGCCAGCACCCGGTGAATTCAAAATTATTGATTTGTAAAAAATCCGGTCTTTAAAGATGAGAAAATAATCAATGTTACGGTTAAAGATATCCTATGTATTTTTGTGGGGGTTTTCTCTTTTTTTTTCCATTTAATCGTTGGTTGTTGTGACCATGACTTAATGAAAAGATTATGTTAATGGTCATGACAAAAAAATACGGCGACTTCTGTTAAGCTTCAAACATTTGCGCTGAATGAAAGCTTTGTTTTTCCAGCATGTGACCTAGCTTTAGGACATCGGAAACATGATATCATACCAATCTCTCTGACAAGTAGTAGTGTTGCCAGGTTTCTTTGTACACTATCGATCAAGACATAGCCGATTTCGTCACCTCCGGAGTAGCTTGTCTCAAGCGACTGCATATAACCATTCATCTGAAAAGCCAACCTCTTAAACCAGGATATATAAA